AGCTTCTTCCTCTGGACCTTGTGATCCTCCTCCTATCTTCCCTGGTGAAAATAATCAAGGGTGATGGGCCCTGGTTGCCAAGTCCCTATGTTCATCACTGCTTCTCCTTCCCACAGCTGACCCCCATTGAGCGTTATGCCATGAAATTCCTGGAAGCCTCACTGGAGGAGGTGAGCCGAGAGGAGCTCAAGCAGGCAGAAGTGAGTATTTCTAGGGGGTGAGGATAGAAGTGGGAAGTTGCTTCTTTCTAACCAGTCCCAGTCTGCTTGCCTCCCTCTGACCACCCACTGTTCGGGCTCTGTTGTTGGTAGGAGCAAGTGGAAGCTGCCCGCAAGGACCTGGACCAAGCCAAGGAGGAGGTGTTCCGCCTACCCCAAGAGGAGGAGGAGGGGCCAGGGGCTGGGGATGAGGTTTCCTGTGGGACTGGTGGAGGCAGTCACCGGCGCAGTAAGAAGGCCAAGGCCCCTGAAAGGCCAGGGACTCGCGTCAGTGAACGTCTTCGTGGAGCCCGGGCTGAGACTCAAGGGGCAAACCACACTCCTGTCACATCCACCCATCATACCCGCAGCACTTCCACACCCCCACGCTGCAGCCCTGCCAGGGAGAGAGTTCCCCGGCCAGCACCTAGGCCTCGACCCACTCCAGCTTCAGCTCCTGCTGTAATTCCTGCCCCAATCCCTGTTCCAATCCCTGCCCCAATCCCCATTTCAGCCCCAAATCCAATAACCATGCTTCCTGTTCATATCTTGCCTTCTCCTCCACTTCCCCCTTCACAGATTCCTCCCTCTTGTTCTTCTGCCTGTACCCCTCCTCCTGCCTGTACACCTCCGCCAGCTCATACTCCACCTCCAGCCCAAACCTCTCTCTCAACTCCTTCTTCCCCTCTCCTGCTTGGTCTACCTTCTGTGCCCGTCTCCCCCCCAGTCACCAACCTCCCCTTGGGCTTGGGGCCTGAGACAGAACTGTGTGCACAAGCATTGGCATCCACCGAGTCCCCGGAGCTGGCTGATATGGCCAGTTCCGAGACTTCCCCACTTACTCTTGTGCCCCCTAAGGATCTGTTGCCAGTTGCTGTTGAGATCCTGCCTATGTCAGAGAAGAACCTTTCTCTCGCCTCTTCTGCACCTAGCCCAACCCTGGAGGCTGACAGCGTCCCCAACGGTCAAGAGCAGGAAGTGCCAGAGCCTGCTGAGGGGACCATCCTCACAGTGCTGCCCGATGGTGAGGAGGTGCCCTCCTGTCTGAGTGAGAGCAATGGGCTGGAGCTCCCACCTTCAGCAGCATCTGATGAGCTACTTCAGGAGCCGTTGGAGGCTGACAAGAGCTCAGAAGAGCTGGTGGAGGCCCAGACCCCAACCTCCAGCCCAGAGAAGCCACAGGAACTTGTTCCAGCAGAGGTCACAGCCCCATCAACCTCATCTTCGGCCACCTCCTCACCTGAGAGTCCTTCACCTGCCCGGCCCCCTCGGCGTCGCACCAGTGCTGATGTAGAAATTAGGGGTCAGGGGGCTGGTCGGCCAGGGCAGCCTCCAGGCCCCAAAGTGCTTCGCAAGCTGCCGGGACGGCTAGTGACTGTGGTAGAGGAAAAGGAACTGGTGAGGCGACGGCGACAGCAGCGGGGAACTGCCAGCACCCTAGTGCCTGGGGTCTCTGAGACTGGTACCAGCCCGGGAAGCCCATCTGCCCGCAGCATGTCGGGGCCAGAATCCTCACCTCCCACCGGTGGGCCCTGTGAAGCTGCTCCCCCATCCACACTGCCCACCCCAACCCAGCAACCCTTCATAGCTCGCCGTCGCATTGAGCTGGGGGTGACTGGTGGGGGCAGCCCAGAGAACGGAGAAGGGGCACTTCTTGCCATCACCCCTCCTGCTGTGAAACGTCGGAGGGGGAGGCCCCCCAAGAAGAACAGGTCTCCAGCAGATGCTGGGCGAGGGGTGGATGAGGTACCTTCATCCACCTCTAAGGGAAAAACCAATGGGGCTGACCCAGTCCCTGGGGCTGAGACCCTTATTGTTGCGGAGCCTGTCCTGGGACCCCAGCCTAGTCCTGGGTCCCAGCCTCTTGGACCCCAGCCAATTCACAGACCCGAGCCCATCATCCTATCACCTGTGGAGAAAAGAAGGCGTGGGCGGCCCCCTAAGGCACGAGATTTGCCCATTCCTGGGACCATTTCCTCTCCAGGGGATGGCAACTTAGAGAGCCGGACACAGCCACTCCCGCTACCACCTCCCCTGCCACCACTCCCACCACTCCTAGCCTGTCCCACTGCTACTGTCGCCAACACTGTCACCAATCTCACCATTTCAACATCCCCACCCAAGCGGAAACGGGGTCGACCTCCCAAGAATCCACCATCACCTCGGCCCAGCCAGCTCCCTGTCTTGGACCGTGACAGCTCTTCTGTCCTCGAGAGCTGTGGATTGGGGAGGCGGCGGCAACCCCAGGGCCAGGGGGAGAGTGAGGGTAGTTCCTCTGATGAGGACGGAAGCCGCCCCCTCACCCGCCTGGCCCGCTTGCGGCTTGAAGCAGAGGGAATGCGGGGGCGAAAGAGTGAAGGGTCCATGGTGGTGGCTGTAATTCAGGATGACCTGGATTTAGCAGATAGTGGGCCAGGCGGGTTAGAATTGACACCTCCTGTGGTCTCGTTAGCTCCAAAACTGCGCTCTACCCGGCTGCGTCCAGGGTCTCTAGTTCCCCCACTAGAGACTGAGAAGGTGCCTCGCAAACGGGCAGGGGCCCCAGTTGGCGGGGGCCCTGGGCTGGCAAAGCGGGGCCGCCTACAGCCCCCGAGTCCCTTGGGACCTGAGGGTTCTGTAGAGGAGTCTGAGGCTGAAGCCTCAGGCGAGGAAGAGGAAGGGGATGGGACCCTACGTCGCCGGCCTGGCCCCCGTCGACTTGGTGGGGCCACCAACCAAGGGGACCAGCGTATCCTGCGCAGCAGTGCCCCCTCCCACCTGGCTGGCCCTACCGTTAGTCACAGAGGCCGCAAGGCCAAGACGTGAGTGGGCTGCCCCTCCACCTGGGCTTTCCGCCATGGCCCCTCTCCCTCCACAACCAGGCCTGACTCTGTTAACCACTACTTGAAGTCTTTTGAGGGGGAAAGCCTCCAGGGAGACATAGGGGCCTTCTCCCTTCTTTCCACCAAAGTAGGGGGTAGGCAACTGGTTGTCATGGAAACGGGGCTCTTCATATACCCCCTTCCCTTCCACCCCACAAGGCTGGGCAGTGTTAAGGGTGGCAAGATAGTCTCTGTCCCCACCCCCTTGTACTTGATTCCCCAGCTATCTTTCACAGCCCCCACCTTTAGGGGAAGGGGGAGGGGCTTCTTCTCTACCATGAGTTTTTTTTTTTTTTTTTCTTTTTTTTTTAAGAAGAAAAAATAATAAACTTAGTTTCTGTATGAGCATCCGCGTAAGGAGGCTTCTGATTTTCTGGTCTGGTGGAGGGTTGGGTGGGAACTTGGGCATCGTTTTCCTCCTCTCTCTTGTTCTTGCCAAAACCCTAGTACCTGATCTCTAACCCAGAATTATGTGTCTTTGAGGTAGAAATCACCCAAGAGGAGGGAAGATTGGCAAATCTGATCTGGTAGGGTGTCTTTCCCTAAAGTTTCAGTTTTAAGTCACTCCAACTCATACTTTTTCTCTCCTCCTATTCCCTTAGTTCTGGACTTTCCCTCAGAGCTCTCTGATGCCTCAGATTTTCCCCTGCTTTTACTCCTCTTGCTCAGGTGCTTTCACTCCTTTTCCAGAAGGCAGGCATCCTACCTCCAGTTGCTCCATCCCCCTTTTGCTTCCCTCCATCTAGCCAAACTAGTTTGAGTCGGCCACACCCCATTCTGAGCTCCTGGGGCTTTTCAGGAGGTGGCTGGCCACCCAACCCCACCCCTGGGCTTGGCTTGGAGACCTGAGTCAGCTCCTCCACCCAAGCCAAATCAAACCTGAGGCAGGAGCCGAAACTCACAGTCCCTCAAGGCCTATAGCCAGGTAAGAGCCCCTGTTCATTTTTACGTTTCCTTTGATCACTTCTGGACCCTCTCTTTGCATTCCCCCCCAATGACTACATCTGTGTTTACCTCAGCAGTTCTTTTCCCATACCCACTCTTCAGCCTTGTGGTAGAGATTCTTTGCACTCTTCTTATCTTGCCTTTCCTCTTTCCATCTATCCTTTGTTACTTGTGTTCAGAGAACTGCAAATGGTTCTGTTTTGTGTAGGATGTAGGGGGATGGTTGGAGATGAGGGTGGAAAGGTGGTTTGATGCCAGAGCTCAGAGGACTTGAGAAGTGATTAAGCAAGGCATCGTTATGTAGGTTTCTGTGTGGGTTATGAGGTCAGACTGGTCCTGGGTTAAAATGGAGAGTAGAGGTAGCAGGGAGTCAGCGTAGCAAAAGAGGCCCTGATTTACGCAGGTAAGGATTTTCTGGTGTTCAGTGTCCTCAGCTATAAAGAGAACTTGAATGGATAATTTTCCCCTTCCTTTCCCCCATCCCTGTGTTGTCATCCACCGTGTTTTCACATGAAATGATTGCTTTGCTTAAAGTGGGGTATAGGGCTTAGGGTGCTATTTTGTGACCCCTCAATATTCAGGGGCAGCCTCTGAGGGAGGAACTTCAGGAAATTTTAAGCCCTCTGAAATACAGTTTAAAGTCACTGACATATAGTCTGATTCCTAGCAGCTTTTGAGATGGTTTTTCTCCTGCTTGTCAGTGTGCTCCTGTCATTTTCCTTTCCCCTACATGTCAAAACAGCAAAAACAGATAATGCGATATTCACACCAGCTTGCCTTTAAAGGCTCCAAATCTTAGGCTGAGAAAAAAGGATTCCGGCCACACATTTCCTCTCTTGGTCTATGAGTCACTGGAGGAATTCCGCATAAGGCAACTTACCTGACAGTTGGGCTAGGTCACGAGGACAGATCAGAGAGAGGGGTGGAGTCTGAGCACGCCAGGCCAATGGCTCAGTTGTTGGGCTTACAAGTACCTTGACTGTATCGCCCACAGGTGATGGAGGACGAGGAGAAGGCAGTGGACACCTTGGTGAGCAACATGGAAGCTGCTCATTCTCCATCCCCCATCCGCTGCTGCTGGCTCCGCCTCCGCTACCTGGCAGCTACTAGCATTATCTGTGGCTGCTCTTGCCTGGGAGTCGTGGCCCTTGTGTTTGCCATCAAGGTGAGGAATGCAATTCCTATGGGAGCAGGGGGGTGGGTGTAGTTAGGCAATGGTTTGGTGTATCTGATCTATATCTACAGTGATCACACAGTTACTAAGTACTTGTCAGAGCTTGGCTCTGGGCCTGCTGTCAAAGGGCTCACCGTCTAATGAAAGAGAGAACTGCGAAAATGGATAATTATGACTGGAATGCAGGTCATCAGTACTGTGACAGAGGAAATACAAGGCATTTGGGGAGCTAGGGAGTGTACGTACGTGTGATTACATACATGTGTATAGTAGAGTAGGTGACAGGAAGATAACCTTAGGGAATGAGTGACTAAAGGTGAAAGGGCGTTCTAGGTAAAGGGAACAGTGTGTACCTGGACTATTAGTTCTGCATGACTGGACCACTGAGGTATAGTGACAGATGAAGCCAGAGGGCCCAGATTCCCAGGGGCTTCCAATGCTGTGCTTGGAGTTTAAACTTTATCTTCAGAGTACTGAGGAGTACTTTCTTTTTTTTTTTTAAATTTTTTTAACGTTTATTTTTGAGACAGAGACAGAGCATGAACGGGGGAGGGTCAGAGAGAGAGGGAGATACAGAATCTGAAACAGGCTCCAGGCTCTGAGCGGTCAGCACAGAGCCCGATGCAGGGCTCGAACTCACGAACCGCGAGATCATGACCTGAGCCGAAGTCGGCCGCTTAACCGACTGAGCCACCCAGGCGCCCCCTGAGGAGTACTTTCAAGAGTTTTTGGAGAGGAGAGTGACATGGTCAGGCTTATGTTTCAGTGAGATCTGCTCTCAAGGCCTGCATGGAAGATGGATTGGAAGGGGCAGAACTCGAGGCAGTTGAGCAGTGATTAGAGTGATCTGTAGCAGTTGGGAAGAAGCTGTGGAGTTTTGGAGAGGGCTTCACCATTTCCAAACACCTAACCAAAACTGCACATGGACCTTTTGAAAGGCCACACGGGATAACTTAAACATCATGCTGGAATTTTCTCAATCCTAGTTGGATATTAATTATCAGAAACTGTATTCTTATCATCATGAGAATTTCTGGGCTTCATTAGGTCAAAATCATAAACAGAATCCTTAATAATGAGAGAGTTGAGACTCATGGGGCTAATACGAATGGAGTGTTGTTTGACTGGACATGGAGGTGGGGGGGCGGGGCTAAATACTCCAAGATAGCTCGTTTCTTGCCGAGGATTCCAAATTCTGAATGAACCTGGGATGAGTAGAAAAAGATAGGGAATAAAAGGATTGAAAAGTACTTTCCCATATGTGATCTTGTGAGCTAACAATGGCTACTTGGAGAAGTACACAGAGCAGAGTGGGTACTTGCTTTGCAGATGAGGCTTGAGAGATAGACATTGGAAAGGGAGGTTAGGGGTTTGGGTGTCAGGTTTTGAGCCATGACAAGGATGGAGGATTGGTGTGGGACAATGGGTACTTTGGGTCAGAAGCAGGGGGAGAACCTAACCAAAAACCTGCCCCCACAGGCGGAAGAGCGGCATAAGGCAGGCCGGTCCGAGGAGGCAGTGCACTGGGGGGCCCGGGCCCGGAACTTCATCTTGGCCAGCTTTGCCGTCTGGCTTGCTGTCCTCATTCTGGGCCCTCTGCTTCTGTGGCTGCTCTCCTACGCCATCGCCCAGGCTGAGTGACCCTGGGTGGCCTCTGCTGAGAGTCAGCGAGACCTCCTGGATCCTGCAGTGCGGCATTGCTAGGGTCTGGGGCGAGCAGTGGTCCTTCCTGGCTGGAAGGATGGTGCCTCTCTCAAAGGGCTTTGGAAGAGCTCTTCTAGACCTTTCTAAAAGGAGGCAGCAGCTGAGACTGATGAGGGGAGGCCAGCCTGCTCTGTTCTTTCAGTGCCCACCACCTCCTAATTCCCCCAGCCCATCACATCCTAGGGGCCTCAACCCAGAGGTGGGGTTGAAAACCAGGCCTGATTTTATTAGAATTTGTTTTGTAATAAAAAGCTTTTTTAGTGGTGAAATGCTCCTGTCTAATTGTTGTTCCCCTACTTTCCCCGGGTTCTTGGCGAGAGCCAGACTGGACATGTGACCAATGGCAAAATCTGCATTTCCCTTTACCTAGGCACTCCGAGAGAAAGAAAGGATTTTTTTTTTTTCTTTCTCTCCACCCCCTCCCTTCTCCTGGTGGTTTCCCTTCTTGGAAACACCCCAGCTTCTCCCGTGCACATCAACAGAGACCCTGTGGCCAGATAGGAAGAGTAATAGCAGCAACCACTATTTACTGAGTGCTTACTATGTTCCAGGCTGTGTTCTAAGCACTTTATATTTCTTAACTCCTTCAGTCCTCACAGTTAATCGATAGCAGGTACCATTATTTACATTTTATAGCTGAGGAAACAAGCACCCAATGTCACCCAGCTAGTGAGAGGCAGAGCTGGGATTGAACCCAGATAGCTTGCTTCCAGAGTCGAAAGAGGAATGGAAGGGTTGGATAGCAGTCACAGGTAAGTCTCTGCCCTGTGTGTGAAGCTTTGTAGGATTATAATGAATTTTCATATCTTGGGCCTCATGGTAATCTTAAACATATTTTATTTCAAATTTCGAAGTATACATGCAGGAAAATATCCCAAACAAATAGAGTTTATAAACTAACGCAAAGCAAACATCTGAAAATCACCATTCAGTCAAGAAATTGAACATTGCCTTTACTCCAAAACCTCCTTTATATCCCTCCCAATACCACTCCCTTCCTTTTTTCCCACAGGTAACTACCATTCTGATAAGTTTGTGTTTTTTTTTTTTAAGTTTATTATTTTGAGACAGAGAGGGCATGAATGGGGGGAATGGCAGAGAGAGGGAGAGAGAGGATCCCAAGCAGGCTTTGCACTGTCAGGGCAGAGCCCAATGTGGGGGTCAAACTCATGAAACTGAGATTAATGACTTGAGCTGAAATCAAGAGACAGACGCTTAATCGATTGAGCCACCTAGGCACCCTCCATTCTGATTTCTAACAATGGAATTTAGTCTTGCCTGCATTTAAGCATTGTATAAATGGAATCATGTATTCTTTTCATATCTGGCTTCTTTAACATTATTGCTGAGATTCATTAATATTTGATTCAGCTATAGTTTTCATTACTGTATGGTATTCCATTATATGAATATATTACATTTTATCCATTTCCTGTTGGTGGACTTTTGGGATGATTACAGTTTCGTGATATTATGAATCATGCTGCTGTGGACATCCTTGTACATGTCTCTTGGAGTACATGTGCTCTGGGAATTGAATTTTTGGATTATTTCACCATAATTTAGAGACCAGCAGAGCACGTAAATGAATTAGAGATACTTGTTGCACACCGAAGAGAGAAGATTAAAGAGAAGAAGAGGCACATGATGGTTGTCTTCAGTGTTCTGAAGTGCTCCAGGAAATAAAAGTGAAGAGACTCTATTGTTGGTCCCAGAGGTTAGAGTTACAGCAATGGATAGAAGCCATACCTAGGGCACTGGTGGTCAATCTTGTCTTCACAATAGAACTGCCTGGGGAGCCTTAAAAAGTACTTAATGCCTGGACTTTTGTCCCTAGGGATTCTGATTTAATTGGTGTAAGCTGCTGCCTGCACATCAGTATAACACATTTTAGATTTCATAAAGAAACTTTTTTAAAGGTAATATTTCATTAATCATTTTCAGTTTCTAGAGGAAACTATCCCATTCCCCCAAACTGATTAAATGAGGTCTTGCTATTTTAAAAAAAAAATTTTTTTTTTTTTGATGTTTATTTTTGAGAGAGAGACAGAATGAGAGTGGGTTGGGGCAGAGAGAGAGGGAGGCACAGAATCCGAAGCAGGCTCCAGGCTCCAAGCTGTCAGCACAGAACCCAACATGGGGCTCGAACTCATGAGCTGAGAGACCCAAACCAAAGTCGGACGCTCAACCGACTGAGCCACCAGGGGCCCCAAGGTCTTGCTACTTTTAAACTCAATTTTGAAAAATTTCAAGCCTACTGAACAAAAGAATAGTACAATGAACTCATGTGCTCTTCACCTAGGTTTATACTTTTTTAACATTTCACATTTGTTTTAGATCTTTCTAAATGCACAAACTGTTATTGTGGAACCATTTGAGAGTAAGTTGAAGGCCCTTCTTTCCTAAATACTTATAATTTTAAAAAATGCTTATTTATTTTGAAAAAGAGAAAGCAAGAGTGGGGGAGAGGCAGAGAGACAGAGAGAATCCCAGGCAGTTTCCTTGCTGTCAGTTTAGAGCCCAATTTCTTGAACTGTGGGATTATGACCTGAGCTGAAATCAAGAGTTGCTTAACTGGCTGAGCCACTCAGGAGCCAGTGTCAGTTTTAATGTAAGTATGGTCCCAGATTGTTTTTTAGTTCAATTTGTTAGATTCATTACTGTCATCCTTAAAATGTTTGGTTGAGGTATAATTTATATGAAGTAAAGTACACAGATCTTAAGTGTGCAGCTTGGTGAACACCTCATATGAAGACCTCTATATAATCACCACCTAGGTGAGTAGAACATTTCTAGCACATCAGAAGGCTCCCCCATGTTCCTCTCAGCCTCATTAATCTTTGTGTTCCTGGTTTTGACCAGTGGAAATTCCTTCAACTTGGTTCTTGTGTCCTGCTATGTCTCCACATTTCTTCACTTACTTTCTGGCCCAAGCCTGGGAATTGGCCATTTCTCCCAAGGAGTCCTGGTTCCTTGAACTGAGGACTATTACTTTAAAATGACTAGAGTAGAAGTGCCTGGGTGGCTCAATCGGTTAAGTGTCTGACTTTGGCTCAGGTCGTGATCTCACGGTTTGTGAGTTGGAACCCTATGTAAGGTTCTGTGCTGACAGCTCAGAGCCTGGAGCGTGCTTCAGGTTCTGCATCTCCCTCTCTCTGTGCCCTTCACCCACTCACACTCTCTCAAAAATAAACATTTAAAAAAATTAAAACGACTTAGAGTAGCTGTACTCATTCTTCTGGGATGTTATTGCTTTTAGGCCCTTTTAGAGATTAGAGCTAGAACACATCTAATTTTATCTGTTTTAAATCTGTTTTTTAAGTCATACGATTTTAATCAGTCATAAGGTTCTTTCTCCCCTTTCACCATCCCAAATTCCCACAGGAAGAAACCTGGCTGCCAACTACATCAACATGTTTATTCATTTGCCCAATTTCTGAATAATTATCCCATTATGCTACCAAACAACCTACTAAAGTTAAGTTCAAGGTTTCTTTGCGATTTTGTTCAGATTGATGGTATAAAGTCAAAGTACTCAGTTAAAGAGTTACTTGGATTCGTTTTTCTCTTCTATGGTTGTGATCCCAAAGTGACATTTCTAAGATAGTTGCTAAAGATTAAATGTGCCTTTTTTTTTGCTGGAACATAACCTCCACAAGGGTGAGGACTCCCCCCCCCCCCCCCCCCCCCCC